ACAACATATAAACAACAATATAAAGAATCTTCCTCTAGATATTACTGTCATCCTTTTAGTCAAGAATTAAGGGACATAAAAAAGCCACTTATATTTCATAATGATGAAACCAATTAGCAAAAACACAATGTCTTACTTCATTGATGGTACTTTCATACTATTAGGTTGGTGCAAAAGTAATTGCAGTTTTAGCATTGTGAAATTTGCCATTTGATATTGGAATGCATTCTTAAATAAGTGTGGTTATGTTATACATCATTTTAATGTGCATTTCTCACTTTATGTTTTTTTGCTAATGACTTATTACTAGCTGTTTATTTTATATTTACTTTAGACTATGGAAATGATGTTAGACAAAAATCAAATTCGAGCGATTTTCTTATTCAAGTTCAAAATGGGTCGTAAAAGCAGCAGGGAGAACTCACAACATTAACACCGCATCTGGCCCAGGAACTGCTAATGAACATACAGTGCAGTGGTGGTTCTAGAAGTTTTACAAATGAGACGAGAGCCTTGAAGATAAGGAGTGCAACGGCCAGCCACAGAAGTTGACAACGAACAGTTGAGAGCAATCTTCAAAGCTGATCCTCTTACAACTACAGGAGAAGTTGCCAAAGAACTCAACATCGACCATTCTATGGTCATTAGGCATTTGAAGCAAATTGGAAAGGTGAAAATGCTCGATAAGCGGATGCCTAGTGAGTTGACTGAAAATCAGAAATATTGTTGTTATGAAGTGTCGTCTTGTCTTAGTGTATGTAACAATGAACCATTTCTTGATGGGATTGTGACGTGCAATGAAAAGTGGATTTTGTTGACAATCGGCAACAACCAGCTCAGTGGTTGGACCGAGAAGCAGCTCCAAAGCACTTGCCAAAGCCAAACTTGCACCAAAAAAAGGTCACAGTTACTGTTTGGTGGTCTACTATGGGGGTCTGATGCACTACAGCTTTCTGAATCCCAGCAAAACCATTACATCTGAGAAGGATGCTCAGCAAATCAATGAGATGCATGGAAAACTACACTGCCTGCAGCCGGCAGCGGTCAACAGAAGGGGCCCAATTCTTCTCCACAACAATGTCCGACTGTATGTTGCACAACCAATGCTTCAAAAGTTGAAAGCATCGGGCTACAAAGTTTTGCCTCCTCCACCATATTCACCTGACCTCTTGCCAACCAACTACCACTTCTTCAAGCATCTAGGCAACTTTTTGCAGGGAAAACTTTTCCTCAACCAGAAGGATGTACAAAATGCTTTCCAAGAGTTTGTAGAATCCCGAAGCACGGATTTCTACACTACAGGAGCAAACAAACTTATTTCTTGTTGGCAAAAATGTGTTGCTTGTAATGGTTCCTATTTTGATTAATAAAGATGTGTTTGAGCTTAGTTACAATGATTTAAAATTCTTGGTCCCAAACCGCAATTACTTTTGCACCAATCTATTAACTGTGAAAGTAGAAAAATTGAGGAAAAACAGCAATTATGTTTTAGTGATAATTACTGACAGATCAAAGATCAGATAAATTTCCTGACTGGTTCTGTCACTAAGCTAGATTGATTAAAGAGTTTAAGACATAAAAAACAGTTCATGTAATCAAAATGGACTGTAAATGGTAAATGAAAATTATTAAGCACT